CTCTCCCGCCGCGTTTTTCCACGAACGATTAATTAATTACGCGACGAACACGCGAGAGTTGCGCATCAAAGAGAGAGAGACAGAGCGAGAGCGCTTTGTAAAAATTCTCATGGCTTCTGTACGTTTCACAGAGGCGTCCTTTTCTCGATTTTTCGTCGGCGAGCATTTCGCGACTCGTTAATAAACAAAGCATCTCGGTGAGTTAACGTCGCGTCCTTAATTATCTCGTTGCAATAGGAAACATTAAAATTATTCGATAATTGCTTCTGTTTCTGACTTTTCACCGAGATGTCATTAAGAAAAAGAATCCAACTAAAATTTGTCGAAAAATGTAAAAAGCCGCCGAGGAAGAGGTATCTGGATTATTTTCTACTCGAAAAAAACAGAAGAATCCTCGATAACGATGCGGCTTCTCCGTGAATTACTTCGTTAATCGAAGTGTTCTTTTGCAAAGTGAAATCTCCCCAGCCGATTCGCTCGCCTCTTGCATGTCCCGAATCTTAGATTCGATCGTACCCCGATCTCGATCGACCGAATATTGTCCCCGTTCATCTTCGATAATCCTTAGACGCAGCCTTTAATAAAGAAAAAAAAAAACAGAATGCGCCGTGTGTCGCGGCCGCGCTCGAGTTTACTAAAAGAGAAATTTGCGTATTGTGCATATAGGCGTTTACGGGGATGTACAGCGTGTGAAGATCCTCTACAACAAGAAGGACTCGGCACTAATACAGATGGCCGAACCTCATCAGGCGCTTTTAGGTAAGTGCACACCCGGAAAAATTCGACGACGTTCGCGACAACTTCGAGTCGCGTTTCGTTCGACCGGAAGAATGCCGATTTCTGTGCCGCGAAAGATCACCTCGCGACGGAGAAAGTATTCCTTCGCTGTCCGTGAGCGAGTGTAAAGATCTATACGTTTATCTCGAAAAGATTACGATCTCGACGTGATTTTGTATACATCGCGGCGTGGACGGATGCGCGCGTGGGAACGTGAATCGTTGGTGAACATCGCCCGTTTCATTTATATGACAGCGCTGACCCATATGGACAAATTGAGAGTGTTTGGCAAGCAAATCAAAGTGATGCTCAGCAAACACCAAACGGTTCAATTGCCAAAAGAAGGTCAGCCAGATGCGGGCCTGACGAAGGACTATACCAACAGCACGCTCCATCGATTCAAGAAACCTGGCTCCAAAAATTACCAGAACATCTATCCACCAAGTGCAACCCTGCATTTATCGAACATTCCGTAAGTGTTGCGACAGTCGTACTCTTAAGCCCATATCAATAATCGTTGCTTGAAACTTCCTTTAGATGAGATTAGATACCCAGATATGAATTTAGAGTTACACTTGAGTTTTTTTTCTTGAATCATACAATATATACGATATTATATTTCCAATCGCGTTTCAGCAGAAAGATTGGCTTTAAATTCAAACTCGAATATTTCACCAAGCAAGTTTCAAGCAACGACTATTAATACAGATCTAAGGCATGTATGAATAGTCATTATTTGAAACTTGTTATCTCACGTAGGACAAGTTTCAAGTAACGACCATTCATACAGGCCTTAGGTTTGTATTAGTAGTCGTTTGACTCAGGTGAGATGCTCAGATTTTAATCTGGAGTTAGATCAGAAGTTTTCAGTTGAATCACATGATACACGTGACATTATACTTGCAATCGCGACTCCACTGAGAACTTCACATGTAACTCTAAACTCAAATATCTCACTTGAGGCAAGTTTCAAGTGGCGACTGTTGATACGAGCTTAACGCTCTTATAGTGCGAGACGAAAATTGAAAGATTGTGCGTGAACACATTCGAAATATCTTTAAAAATATCTCGCATAATTTGTTACTCGCGAAGAGTTTTTCTTTCCATTTATTTAACATTTGTTCATCTACAAAAAACCGGAATTATTACGAAAGAGAGATCTTATATTCGCGCCGACTTTTTCTCACGGTGGCTTAACGGCGTTCAATTTTATCCTCGCAGAGCCACGGTAGCTGAAGAAGAGATCAAGGATGCTTTCACCAAGAACGGCTTCACCGTGAAAGCCTTCAAGTTCTTCCCGAAGGACAGGAAGATGGCTCTCATACAGATGCCTAACATGGACGATGCCGTGGCTGCGCTGATCGTAAGTAGCTTTCGCAATTAACTCGTTACCGTCGAAGTGGCGGACGATAATCCCGCGTGACTGGAAATAAAATCCCATCGTGGCGCCGCGACGTCGTTGCTGTGGAAAAGAAGACGTGCACATCGCTTTCTCGCACAGCGCGTCGCTCGTCGTGCAAAATTCTTGAGAAGAAAAAGCAGCAGGCGAGAGAGAAAAAGATAATAATTCGAGATAAAATCCGACGGAAAATTCGGCCGGTTATTCCAATCGAATGTCGCGACTGATTCGCTTCTCCGCATTGAAAGGCAACAAACTCCGGGGATGTTTGTTCTGTTTTTTTACAGAAAATGCACAACTACCAGCTCAGCGAGTCCAACCACCTCAGGGTGTCATTCTCTAAGAGCAACATCTAACAAGAATCGCCACCACACGAGCAGCAGTGGTACCAGCCCTACGCCCTAGTTCCCCTTTGGTCACCCGCTTCGGTCTACGACTGATGGTCCCGCAGTTGGATCCGCTCAGGTGCTCGTCCGTTCCAGTGAAAATTGCAACGCGCTGGTTGTTTGTTGGCCGCATTGTGCCGCAACCCCCATACACGGGACTCTATCGCACATTGGGACTCTGAAGCAGCACAAGAGGACAGGAGCTACCTCCTCCGAGCGAGCTTAGGATGCTTTCGAGGCCTTGTCCTTGTTGGGACGTATCTACGGCACGAACGTGTCCCCGCATCCGGTTGATTCTGTCGATTCGAGGGTTGCTAGGGTGTTAAGAGAGAGAAACAGAGAGAGAGAGAAAGAAAGATAGAGAGAGAGAAAGGAGATATATACACATACACCTACATCCCCACATAAAATAAAACTAGGGCTGCTGAACTAGGAATGCTGAAGCTAAGCGGCAAAATGCCGACGAGTCCGCGACGGCCTCTTCTCGATAGTAGTTCCGGTGCTGGCTTTCGAACGTGGTGCGCGATAATTTCATAATTTCAGATGACAAAGAACGATCTTTTCGATGATGACTGTCGTGATCTGAGGGTACGATCGAACATTGTTATGAAAGCCAGGACCGTCGCGCCGTAAGGAGTAAGAAAATATAGGAAAGAAGGAGAAAGAAGCGAAAGGGAAAAAAAAGGATAGGTAACAAAAACAAAAGATAGAGAAACAAAAGAAAAAAACAAAGAGGAGAAAGAAGCGATGAAAGGAAGAGGTCCCGGCTTTGCCGGGTGTTGTTTCCGGGATGGAAGACCTGACGGAAGCAAGAGAGAAGAGAAGGGAGATTAGGATTAGACGGGAGCGAGGAAGCGGCGCACAGCTGACGGACAGTCCTCGACTCTTGTACAGAATTTAACGCTAGGAAAGATAAGACATACTGTACATGTAAAATCTACGATCGTGCGGGTCCTGGTCGTCAAGGCCGCGACCGCGGCGCCGATCGCCACACTGATTACGGTTAAGGGTTTTTTCAAGTTGCATGGACACAAGGCCGTGCCGTTTCACGGCGCGCCCGTGTATCAGTTTCGGAAGCAGGTCTCCGTCGTCAGCGTGTGGTTCGACGAGCTGGTGCGTGCGAGCGACGATAGACAGAACGAGGGTAGGAGGGAAGGAAAGATCGCGAGGATAGCTAGCGTGCGTTTCAGGGTAATCGTCTCGCTCGTCGTACACGGTCATGCGCCACGCGTGAGGGGGTCAGATGTCGTCCGTTTGAGAAAGAAAAAGAGAGAGAACCAGCGGCGATACCCGCGCGAGACAATCTTCAATTCCGACGACATAGCACACATACACACACTTTTTCCGCGGCAGTACGACCGACGACGACGAGCGCGCGAGAGCATCGTCGAATACCGCTCGAGTATTCTCTTCGCGCTTTATTTCGAGCGAGTTCACGTAAGAAACAGCGGGCCAATGTCACGGGACCCTTTCGCGAGGTTTACTCCGCCGGCGAACCGATCGTCCTCTCGACATCTTCTTCGCGAAGCAGACGCGATGCGAATGATGCGAAGCGCGGGAATGGGTGGGTGGTTTCGTGGCTCTTTCGCTCTTTGGCACTCACCAGGGGGATCGGTCCGTTCGTGAGGCGGAAGCTATTATCCAAATCGTTCGTTGCATGCTGAAGAACGCATTCTGTCGCGCCGAGCTGCGTCGGGCCCGCGCTCGACCTACGTTAATGCTTCTCTCCGAGGGCGAGAGGCCCTCGTTCTCGGAGGTATCTTCAGTATTCTCGACTACCCCGGCGAAGTCGAACGCTTCTAGGAGGGGTCGAGCCAGGTCCGATCGTTCGGCCGAGATCATCAAGTCCCATCACGCTGGCCCACGCGACACGACTACGCGCGTTTGTTGTACGGTCGTCGCAGGTGGCATTTTTATAATTTGTACGTTTCAGTTTGGAGATAAGTATTATCGCACCCGCACACGTATCCGCGTTATGAGACCATGCAATTACGCAGTTACACACAGACACATACAGCAGACGTGACATACACACACACACACACACAATCGCATACAACGTCGCGCGTGAGATAAATAATATCGACCGCTGATTTATACATACACTTACAGATACAAGTACACATACACACAACAGACACGCATAGGTACAACTCGCAGATTTCTTAGTTAGAATAGATGCTTAGGCATGTGTTAGGATCTTAATCGTATAGTAAGCGACGAGAGACAAGTAATCGAAACTAGGCGGAAAGGCGCTGCTGTGTTAAACATATCGCTAATTAAAAAGTTTGCTACGTGCGAAGAGCGCGCGCAGAAAGTGTTATTTGAGGCGGATCGGCGGGTACTACTCGGGTCGCCTTGAGGATGGTGAGCGTGCGATGGATGATGCCGACACGCGGCGGAAAAGAAGTGAGGTCTTCCTCGAGCCATGGACGAGCGCATCCATCGCGCGGCGAGCCCTTGTCTATCACATTGAGAGTTCCTGATATCAAAGCATTCCTTCGGTAGTCGACAGTTGTGGGAGAAGGCGCCCCGTTAAGGAAGAATGAGAAAAGGAAAATAAGCAGGATACAGAAAAAAATAAATATGAACATGTTGGCCAATCAACGCGAGACTCCGTTAGACTCGAGGATATGCCGAGCATAGACTCGAATTCTCTTTTAACGAGATATATAGGTAGAATCGTGTGTTAACGGGGATTAGATAGGTCTCCTAAAAGCGAGCAGCAACAGCATCAACTTCGGTAGGGACAGTCCTCGAGGAGCTCGGGAGGTCCTCGCCGAGAAGCCGTGCGTGGCGGAGTTTCGACCGGCCGCTGCCGCGACCACACGGGGATTCCCGGTCGTTCCTCGTCGGCGACGGGATTCTCCGATCTCGTCCACGACAAGAGGCGCGCGCGCGCACCGGCAAAGTCCGCGCATTTCTGTCTGATCGACGTTCTGTTGGAGTCAATTAAATTTTACTGATATAACATAACTGATCGTAGAGAAAGAAAGAGAATAAGAGCGAAGGCGCGTCGCGTGGAACATTGTTGTTGAGGCGTAAATGAGCGTGAACGAACGACATAGAAAGAAAGAGAGAGAGAGCGCGAGAGAGGGAGAGCGAGCGAACGAGTAATTGCGAACGAGTGCGAGATAGAAAGAAAGGTAGATGGTGGAAGGTATTCGCGGGAGAGTAGTGTTGCGCGACTTAACGGATAAACTCTACGTTGTAGGGGGTGAGGGAAGTAGTTTCTCCAAGTCGTGTTCTCGCGCAGCAAACGAGATGGGGAAGAGCGACGAAACTGTGAAACAAAATGCGAATGCCGGCCTGAGCACAGGAGGAGACGGAGAGGGAGAGAGTGTGTGTTGTTTGTGCCAAAGTAGGCTAGCCGTTAAAAAAAAAGAACTCTAGAATGGGATCTCTTAATGAGCCGTGCGAACGGGATATCCATGTTCGATCGCGCGAACGCCGATTCTCAGGGTTCTGTCGCGCCACGCGCGATGGACACGTTTCTCGTAATGGGCCCGAATCGGCGCCTCGCCGGTCGAGTACCGACCAATCAGCTAGTTGTTTAGAGACGTAGCGAGTAGCCGGCATGAGCGAAGGGGCCAGTCTTTGCATCTATGATCTGTCTTTCGGACCTCTGATACTACGTTATTTACTTGGACTGCATTTATACATTCTAACGTGACACGTTCCGAGCACACTGGACCGCAAAATCGCCTATCACGAGAGGCATAACGAGAACAACACGCCCGTATGTAATCGACACACTTGCGAACACTTAACAGACATACATATATTACACACATACCCGCACGTTTACATCCACGCACACGCAGTTTTCAGTGCGCGACATAGTTTCCTTGTTTTACCTTGCCTAATGAATTGATCTTTCTCGTTTTAATCGGTTTTATTTCTCGTTGACTGTGCACTAATCTAAAACTCAAGCAAGAGAGAGCGCTTTAAGTTTTCATTGCTTCTTTTATTCGGATAATTTTTCGGCTTTCGAGATTCGCGTCTCGAGAAGCTGTACTTTTAAGCGTCTTACGTCAGTACTCTTAGCTGATTTGCGCCGACACTTCTTACGTTTTTTGTACACGACCGACCTCTCGTTTGTATCTCCTCAGTTGTCGCCGAATGTCACGAGCGTTGTATCGTAGTGCCACAGGGGGGAAGGGAGAATCGTGCGGACCTCTCCCGTACAGAGTCGCACTTCCGGCACGATATCGTCTAAGCGTACCTGAAAAGCCTCACAAGACGTTGCCCTACTTCGAGCTCCTTTATCCTCCGCGAGTCGCAACGTCGGAGCACCCCACCAATCGCGCCAGGTTGCTAATTCAATTCTACTTCTTGTCAGCCGTTTATTAACACATTCCCCTGTCGACGCGTCCGCGCGGCCACGCGGGATTACCCTGAAGTCATCGACGGACATCGTTTCATCGACCACATTTCCGCCGGCGTTGGCGCCGGTGAAAGCGTGGGCGAGAAACGCTCGTCGCCGATGATTTCATCGTGATCTCGCGTGCGCGATCACACATATATATACACACACACACACGCACATGCACACACAGCCAGCGTTTCCTTCTTCTTTCGGAATCTCTAATCGCAGCGCGACTGATCGTCGTCGCCGATGAAATGAAGCCGCACGTTTCTTTCCTCGCAGGATCCCCCGCGTTAATAGCGACAATCAATCAGCTCTTCTGCTCGCGGGGGGGAATCAGCGCGAGGTTCTCCCGTTAATTGCCAAAGTAAACTCGTTTTGCAAACGACGCGCGAATCGATCCTCATTAAGGGACTACTTAGTAGAAACGTCGTATGGAAACGGGGACAGCTGTATTATTATGGGCCGTAGACAATCTACAGGGTGCCCGACGTCAAAAATCGCACAATCATTCGGTTCACAGCCCGCCGCGTCGTACGACACGTTAGGTCGGCCTTCCTCCTTTCCGCTCGGACAGTCCTCGCGTGATAGGCAATGAGAGAAGAGGCACCCTGTAGACGGATAGATCGATTATATCACTAGCTGGGTTGAGGGGGGCCGAGGTGAGGGTTGGAGTAGCCAGCACTCGCTACATGGTGTCGTAGATATTCAGACTCCGAAATTTCCCAAGACTCGTCGCGCGCGGGAGAAGTTGTCGAGCCTACTACTGGGAGATCTGCTGATCGTGTTCCCATGCGCGGTGGATGCCAAAATCGCAAACCCAGCGGAGCGGGAGTGCCGAGGTGCGCGGTACCGATCGTGTGCGAGCCGCGAGACAGGGTCTGCCTCCTGGTCGCGAGATCGAGGACACTCTCGCGAGGATTCGCCGTCGGTCGGGGCTCGTTCATCTCGGCCAAGAAAGGTTCGCGAGTGGAGGAGATAATCGGCGGGCACGTACGCGGTGTAGAATCGCACTTGGACCAAGGAAATTCGGGGTCTGGTAGAGAGCCACGCAGTAGACGAAGCTTAGAGCCTACACAGAGGGTATACTATAAACTATATATATTATATATTATAGATAAAAAACAAGTACACACATACACACACATATGTACACTCTCCTCAGCGTAGAAACATAGACACAGGATATACACAGGGCCAGACACACCCGCGAATACACACACATGCTCATACACATACATATATACACACACACACACAGACGACCGTACACACACGACTTGTATCTACTATATATTTGATATATCGCATTGTAACAGGTGTGTCCAAAATGCGCCGCGGCTGCATCCCGATATAATCTATATTTTATTAATAAGGGATAAGTCTAATAGAAAGAAAAGAGAAAGAGGGTTGCTAACGTTACGGATTATCACATAAATTAGAGAGAAGTTTAAACTATATGAATTATATTGTATAATGCGGCGGAATCCACAAGTACACACACGGAGCAGAAACGGGCAGGGAGAGAAAGAAAGAGAGAGGGATCGCACGCATGCACGCACACATACAAACTCACACACATAACACACACTACACGCAGCGTTTTTCAGCGCGATCGCGGGCGGAGGTATATAAATATATGTATATTGATGAGTTTTAAATGACTATATCTGTGCTATCGTAGGTATATCGTTGAAATTCAGGATGGTCTGTGCTTGCCTAATCGGGGCCTTAGGCGTCGTTCACAACTGAAAGGGACAAATCTAAAAGAAAGGTAAAAATAAACGCGCGAGACGTCGACGCGTCTCTCGACGACGGGACCGACGACGTTCTCTTGTCAAACTTTTTCCGTGTTAGAGTTAGGGTGTCGAAGAAGAGGTGAGAGGTGAACCAAACAGAGGATAGGAGAAGGAGGAGGAGAGAGGGAGAGGCCAGTCGCGACGGCCAGAAGCGTCGAGCTGCGACCATTACCGAAATCTCGTGTTTCTCACGATCATTCTCTTGGCCGAACTCGATCGACCACGTCGCGGCTGCCTCCCCTTTCTCGTTTACCGAAGGAACAATACATACACGGCGTTACACGGTACAGCGGCTTAGCGGGAGCAAGCATCTCGCGAACACACGTACCCACACACACACAAAAAAAAAGAAATATAAATATATATAAATATATGCCTACATGAATACACGTCGCACGAAGGGACGCAGCTTGAAATTAAAATTAAGTACACACTAGTTTATATCGTAAAGAGATGAACAAGCGTTTAAAAGACACACACAGGGTCTCCAAAGTGCGGACGGTTAGCGAAGGTACGCGTGGTCTTCGGGATAGGTCGTCGACGGTGAGAAATAGAGAGAGAGAGAGAGAGCAGATCGTAACCGAGCGTGAGAGCGTTTCGTGCGGATCGAGCAAGTCGAGATAGCGACCTCGCTGCCAAATCCTAACGGGTCTAACATGATAAAATCACGAGAAGACTCCCGCGGCAGAATGACGCCTCGATGACGTATCATTGACGCCAGACACGTCGTTGAAACGTTATCGACACGCCATTTGACGTCCTGAGGATCGTCCTAACATCACATATTGTTTCGATGCAAATTCGCCGAACCAAATCGCGAGACCAAAATGGTGACCACCGGGTCTTCGATCGTTTACTTTTACGCCGTTATCTCGACTGACGCGATGGTGGCACGGGAACCAAGCGAGATCTCTCCTCTAGGAAACACACGTCTCGACAGATCGCTAGGTCTGTTCGGATTATTCGTTAGTGTGCCTGTCGGCTGAGTGACTCCGCGATGTTTTTCTTGCCTGCTCTTACTTCCGCGAGAATCACGCTGGTGTTAGGATCCCGGGGAGAAAAGGGCGCTCCGCGTCGTGACGGGGACGGAACGGAGGGACTGTGGGGCGAGCGCTTTCCGTCCCGGAACGTTCACCTCGCGATCCATTGCACGTGATCTTCGCACGAGGGGGCGAAAAGGCCGCGGCTCTTTAGGTCCCGAACGACAAATTCTCGGTGGATTTCTACTTGAAGGGGTAACAGCGCGAGACGAGATACGTCGCTGTAGCGACGAGCATATGAGCGATTGGCAGAGCGAAATTTTCCCAAGTTATCGTAACTTTCACTCGCGACGAGGAGAAAATGAAGACACCGAGTAGTGTTCGATGTCACCTGGCAAGGTGAAGCGTTTCTTCTCAATAGGAGCGCGACGTTAACGCGCTCGCGCGCGCGCGAGGCACAGCTGAGGGAAAGGAAGAGTCGTAGAAATGAACTGAGAAGTGGTCGTTGAGCTGTAGAAAAGTTGACTGAGCGTCTAGAAGAGAGAGAAGGTGGAGAATGAAGAGATTGCGGGAGCGCGACCGTGTAACGAGGAGAGTAGCGAGGTAAAAACATTAGTAGCGTGTTAGAATCGTGTAGTAGCTCCTTTCTAATTAAGCCTGCAGACTAAGTAATGTGTATAGTTAAATGACAATCACTCGACTCTCTGTATCGACAATTGACGAAGGGAATCTCTGAGCCGTGATAAGCTGCCACGCACCGAATTCCCCTTTCTTCGTGTTCCCTTCCTCCCCTCGAACCCGCCCTCACCTTATCGTATATATTCCCTTGCGATTGTAAATCTTTTCCTCGCACCGATATCGTGTGGACTTTCCTTCTCCCTGTGAGAGAAAGACACTTTCCTTCACCGAGCTGGTGGACGACCAGCGTGCTATTCGCGAGCTCTCCAGAGGGGCAGGGGTGTGTAAATAACGTGTGGAGAAGCGGAGAGGGAGACTCGAAAATCCGTTGACTCGTCTTCGACTCGCGTCGTTTTGTCTCATTTGTCCGAAAGTGTCTAGATCGATAAGTAGATGAACGTTCCCCCCGCTATTACTACACAAATTGCTGAAAAGACGATGTTGCGTCTTCGTTTCGCCCTGAATTGATTTTCCTTCTGCCCGATGTTCCAACGAGATTTTTTCACCGCGCCATTACTTGAGTCCCTTGTCGGCCGCGTTGATCAGCGCGAGATGTTTGTGAAAAGAATCGCATCGGCGAATGTATAAACGCGAAGAGATCTTTTGCCCGATAATACGCACTAGACGATACTCGTAGGATAGGCTTTCTGACATTTTTCTGCCGTTTTTTTCCGAAACGATTCGAGGTTCTTGCGCGAAATCTCAGGTTGTAAATACATACGCTAAATTTACGATTCCTTCGATATCGCGTCGCTTTAGCCTCTCCAGCGATCTTGCCGCCTGTTTTCCGCCTTTTCGCAGAAAAGAGACTCTCGTGCCCACGTGACGTGCCCCCAAAACTCCGTCTTTCGACTCTCACACTTTCCGAAATCTATGCCCAAAAAGATCCTTGGTTTTCTGCGTCTACCTTCCTTCTTTCCCTTTCGTCTCACTCACAGACGTCGTTCTCCGGTCTTATCGATATCCGGTGACGATCTCGCGCGTCGCCATCCACGATGAAGGGATCTCTCGTTTGAGAAATATTTTCTTTCCCGTCGTATCAGCATTTGCACTATACATATGAAGCTCTGAAAATTATCGGGATAATTCTGATCTTTTAAATTTGCTTCTCTACAATCTCGTAATATCACAATTTGTTAGCATTATATTGCTCTTACGTGAAGTAATATTATATATTAGTTACTAATTATCTTATATAAGTATTTATAATATTATATATATATATATATATATATATATATATATATATAATATTATAATATTATCATCTTAGGTATCTTATTATTTTTGTAATATTAGTGGAAGTAAGATTAGTATTAGATCGACTCACAGTCTTTTCCCATACAATGTATTTCACGATATTAGACATTTTTATTGGAAAGTGAAAGAAAGCCAAAATTATTCTAATAATTTCTAATGACATCGAGTATGCGCGAATAAGAAATCGGTAGATCGTGCGAGATCGCGTCATCGGGATTTCGATCGCCGGCGAGGCGCGCTCTAAAAAATCGACGAATCTTAAACGCAAAAAAAAAGCTAAGAAATATATATATATGCGTGAGAGAAAACCAATATGGGCCAGGAATTGCGTTGCAAGTCACAATCAGCTCGTCTCCGGCAAAGCAGACAATTTTCTTTTTACGAGAAAACTAACGGAGAACCATTGTCAGAGCGGGCGTTTTACGGTTAAGCTCTTTCTTAGTAAGTTCGATTAGGTAATTAGTCGATCGGTAGATTGAAGGCGGAGATGTCGCGAGCGATCCTTTCATTTGTCGTGCGTCGCGTAGCGCGACGCGAGCGCGTGCAACAGGGGAAAAAGGGAAGTAGAGGGGAGAAAAGGAGAAAATTCGGGAGCGCAGGAGATAACAGAGATAACGTGGAGATAACAGAGGAAGAAAAGAAGGGAGAGGAAGAAGAGTAGAAGTAGAAGTAAAAACAGGAGAAGGAGAGATTTTCGGATCGAGACGGAACGTGCGCGATCCTTTCTATTATCGATCAGCATTTACGCGAAAGAGAGAGACAGAGACGCGCGCACACATTCACACACGTTAGCATTTACCATGTACACATACGATACCCGAGGTATATATAGGTATATATAAATAAAACGCGCGATGTGTGCTATACCTATACTATACATATAGGTATGTGTATATAAACACACACATACGATGATACTTTTTCACACGTGACACGTACGTTTGACGTTTGACGATCTTCCACGTGCCTTCCCGGCGCGATACGCTCACACAGAACACACACCTGTACGCCGACGCGATATGTCGTTGATATATTATTGTCGCCCATGACCTTTTTATACCTCGAACTCTCTTGGACCCTCTTTGGAAAAACGAAAGTACTTCTCTCCGCATCGATTCTCCGCCGACAGATCTGGAGGCGCGCACGTTTTTTTACCCTCTTCTGCGACCGCGGTGATCGACGCGTTGTACCTCCGCCACGAATACTCGTTACGGCGATGTATTTCTACGTGTTACGGCAAAAATTCTGTCATTTCGTTTCCGTGCTGTCGAGTGCTCGCGGATCGGAAATCCAAAGTGCGTTTCTCCCTCGTCTCGTGTGACGAGGCAAACGTGACGTCACGTAAATCGGTGATACGTCTCTAGAATCTCATCGTGCATTTTCACATGGTGCGACGATTCCTCTTTTTATCTCTCTTTTTTTTTTTCTTTCGTTTACGTTACGTACGCGAGAACACTAAGTAAGGTGTGTGCTTCAGGTACTTCGCACATATCACAGCGCGCCCGCAAGAATTTCGTTCGCGCGACTTTTTCCAGGTCTGTCTTACGCATTAGCGTCTTACGAGTATCCTGTTCTCCATTTTGACGGTATTATCGAACGTATCACATTTATCATGCTACTTCTTCCCGCTGAATCTGTCGTTTTTGCGTTTATCCCCCCTCGCCTCTCGTATCACTTACTTTAATCTTACTTTTATACTTTTAATCGCCGCCGGTTGTTATTATCACCGTCGCTGCGATTGCGTTCTTTACTATTACTAGCGCTATAATTATTATTAATATTGTCTGCTCTTATTATATAATTATCTTATCCTTACGTTTAATGAATTTCTTCTTTTTTTTAATCTTAGCATTAATGACGCGCTTAATTGTGCGCCGAAGAGAGACTCCACTCTCTTCGGCGGAGACACTTTTTAATTTGTATTACTTTAGACCTCATCGCGCGCGCGCGCGATACTTTCTTGTGTGTAATCGTTCTAATTTTAGTTTTCCGAATCACCACTCTCGAATGGCGGTACCACTGTTCGTTGTACTTTCATCTACCATTGCGATAACTACTATTACTACTACTATACTATTACTATACTACTACTATCACTATTACTACTATTAGTACTACTATTACTACTACTACTGTCATTACTACTATTACTATCACTACTACTACTGTTACTATCACTACTACTATTACTATGATTATTCTCACTATCATTCGTTATTCGCTACTTTCTACTATCACTCTTACTCTTTCCTTCTTCTACTTCTTTCTCTTCTTCCTTTCTCTCTTTAGTAGAAAGACACGGCGATTCGCATTGCTCGTATCTGTTTCAACTGCGAGGACAGTAAAATTCAAATAATCAGTCGTATCAAACGAGGAAGAGCGAGTGAAGTAAAAGAATTGAGCACACGAGATTAATAGCGGAGCAATACAGATCGCCATTATTTTCTATATTTAGTCTCTGTCTCATGATTCATGACTATACTATATCTTCACTTCCTCTTTTTCTCTCTCTCTCTCTCTCTTTATCTATCTCTCTCTTCATCATCTACATATTTCTATCTCTATTAAATCTTTCTCACATACTCTCTCTATATATGTATGTATGCATATTATATATATATGTATATCGTATGCTTTGTACTACTTCTCTATTCTTATCATTATTATATTACTCTACTACTGTATTACTCTCTACTACTATGAGTGCTACTATTGCCGCTCCGACCACTGTTTGCTCTTACTATAACCGTAGATGCGTTTTACATGCGGCTCGTAAGTAATCGATGTCCTTGCCTGTTCTTTATTTTATCTCGTTTTAATGAAATTATTTTTTAATCGAAATAATTACCCTGCATCCATCCCCACACACTCTCCTGCTGTATACTTTCTCGACTCTGTACTTGGCATTGCGAATCTCTGTACCGTTTTCTCTGTCACCATCAACCACCATCACCACCCCCCCCCCCCCCCCCCC